TTTACGCTCGATAGTTTTTTAGATATAGGAAACTCGAAGCTGTTTTTATAAAAAGTTGATGAAATTTATTACAGCTAAATATATAAAATAAATCATACATAAATTAACGGATGGAACTATTGTATTTTACTATCAGGATCAAACATAAACAGTTATTGTCGCCTCTCACTCGCAATTCGAGTTGCTACATTAAACCAAGTGGTGACTGAGAGTCACTTCTCGAGTGTAAAGGGTTAAAGATATCGCTTTGAAATCTGCATGCTTATAAAAGACACATCTCTCCAAAAAATGAACTACGATAAAGATAATATTTACAACAGTTTTTGTTTTAAGTGCAAAGAGAGATTAAAATTTTGGCCAAAAATCTCTTTATACTATTTGAAAGGGCGTCATTTTGTCAATATTTATTTTGTAATATTGTTTGTAGTTCAACTGATGCATGAACTCACATAGATTAAGAAAATTTTGTCTTTGAATTTCTTTATATTTTAAATGTCTTTATATTTTAAATTAAATGATCATCAATCACTTCTGCAAAATGAAGGTGTACTCTTAGTAGACTTCATATTTTAATATCATCTACATAAAATTCACTGGATAATCTGCGTTAATAAAAAGTATTATCACAATTTATAAAAATTAATAAATACTTACAAAAATTACGTATTTATTGTTTCAATACTTTTCTCTATAACATTTCTTGAAGACGGACATTTTTCTGGTCCAATAAACTTAGATACCTTTAATGTTACTTACCCGTTAAAGACGTTTGACAATATTGTACAAAACATGAAAATAAAATTTTTTAAAATAATTTTTTCGTACGTCAAATCATGATAAATAATATGGTCGAAACTCTGTTGATATGTTTATTCATTTCTTTGAAGGAGGAATTCGTAGAAATTTACTTTTCTGGCTATCTAAACTAGAATCTCCCCTTAACTTTACTTTCGCTATAGCTTCGCTCTCATTTCGGTTATATCTTTGACAAAAAAGCTCTCTAACTTCGGTAAAACGTCGAGAATGTTCTATGCCGCGCCAAGAAACGTCCAAAGATCGCAATAACTGCGAATTGCATTTAGGTCATAACTGGGCGAGTCGTTAATATTATTGCTTCGTAACATTTAACTGAAACTCGAACAGCCGGATTCCTCCTCGCCATTAAATATTGACTGTTTAATGACCTGCCATTTCAGACTTATGTATATCGGAGCTTAATATTTTACTTTCCGCTCGCTGTATACCTAGACTATTCCAAACATCGCAAACTTACTCTCGGCGAGTTATTTTCAACTTATTCCTCGTTGAATTCGCCGTTGCGCTTTCTACGGCAAATAAAAATGTATCCTCACGTCAACTTTAATCATTCAATATCACATTAAATTGCCACGTCCGATAATATCGCGGGCTGAATATTAAATATTAAATCTCTGCGGATGATTCTTTAATTAGTTTCACAAAAAAAGTCTATTTGAGATTAAATGAAGAGTGCATATTTGACGGGTCGCTCATTTGTTTATGGCGCTCGCCGAACGATTTGCGCGGCGGATATTCCTCGCTCTTCAAAGTCCGTTATCGTGTATCGACATTTAGTGGAATATTTACGAATCGTTTTTTCCTTCCTCTTTTTTTCCCCCGGAACGATCCTTCATCACACAGAAATCGCACAGAGGAGCTCACACAGAGAAGCGTTGAAAACGGGGAAAAAAGACAAAAAAAAAAAGAAAGAAGAATAGGGAAGAAGCAGATTGGCGGTACGCGTTGAATGAAAATAAATCGGTTTGGACGATTAATGCGCACGTAAAGGCCCTTTAATTCCGGGATGCGAGTTCGGTGAGTTACAAAATGGATCGAATAATTACATTCCCTGAAACAACGCTCCCTTTGTTCCTTTGGAAACTAGTCGTAAACTGGCGGAGCCAACGCGCAGGCACGTGTACACGCCGGCAAACAGGCACGAGTCCTTAAAACAAAACAATTGTAATCCAACAACGGCATTTCGCGGCATTATTTCGTGCTTCGGAGTTGTCTCGTGCTCTGCGCCCGTGCACGCTTGGATTAACAGCAAGGTGGACGCGACGCGACGCGACGCAACGCGGCGAAGGAAGCGAGGCGAGGCGAGGAGGTGCAGTGGCGTGCTGCAGCTCGCTGCATTGTTCGAACTTTGCCTTCTTTCGTCCTATATCTCGTCAGGGATAGTGCGAGCGATACGCGTTTACACGCCTCACGAAATGCAGACACAGGCCACTCTGTACCTTGAGAGGGAGAACGGGAACGGAGAGGGAGAGAGAGGGGAGAGAGAGAGAGAGAGAGAGAGAGAGAGAGAGTTATCATAAGTCGCGTTTTATTCGCTTTGGCCGGAAATGAAAATAATCTTGTTGGTTTTCGAAATAAGTGTGTTCCGTATAAGGAATGCACGGATTTACAGGGTGAGTCTAAAATTATTCTAAAATATCTATATTGTTTTATATGTTAGAGAAAATTGTGTTGTGTTAGAAAGGTTTGATCACAATATTAATCCTTTTCAACTACACAATTTATTCTTTAAGATCGGTTTGCACCGGAAAAGTAGCAGTAACAATATTTATAGCGAAAAACTAACAACAAAAATGTTTTTAGCAAAACTATGTTCTCGAGTAATTAACTTACTAAATGTTTCTAACAAAATATACTCCTAACAATGTGAGAAACACAAATGTCACAAATGATATATGGAAAATTTACCCCGAAAGTTGGAAAAAAAACTATTTACTATGATTAATAATAGCAATGTTTTTGGCAAAAATGATATTTTCTTATATATCTTTTCTTCAACAAAGTTAGAAGATTTTAAACAGTTAATCATACTGTTATTAGCAAATATATGCATAAATTTGACAATTTTTATAGTAAGATTAATCAAGTTAAGTTTACCTCTTTATTATTAATGTTACTATCCATATCTAGTTCAATATTTTCTGCTACTTAAATTAAATATATTTTAAAAGCAAAACGCTGGTGTTGGAGTGAATATTTTTATTAAATATTATTATGCTCCCAACATAAAAATATTCGCTCTAATATCAGCGTTCTATTTTTATTTGCCCAAAAATGTTTAATTTAACTTTTGTCAATAACATTTGTTCTCCGCAAAATGCTGAAACCAAATGTTATAATCATTTTTCAAAATAACAAAGTTAATATCAAAATGTGATTAATTTGTTTTGCAACTTGTTGGAAATAATTGTTTTCAGTAATTTTAAATGAAACGTCTACATTTGTCAGTAACTAGAAGCACACGTTATTAGCAATGTTACTGTTAATATAACATATTTTCTTCTGATATAAAAATAACAGACATTTCAAAATCTAATAAGTGATTGACTTATGTAAAAAATAATAAGTGAAATGCGTAATCAGCCAAGGCAAATGTATCAAATTAGTACAATAGATTTGTCACTTTTCTATAAAATCCTCGTGGAAAGTTTGGAATTAAAAAAGAAAATAAGAAGTCTTTGATAGAGATATCTAAAACAATATCGATGTTTTTTCTTTTATTTGTACAAATTATTAATCTTTCGGGATCAAATAATTTTGTTTTCTATTTTATTTACAAGAACGACAAGTCAAATACGACAAAGTCGTATTAATCAACTTGATAAATTATTCCATGATATCTGAACATATGAATTGATCAATCTCTTTTTTAATCTTAAAGTTTGTCCCTCAAAGTGTCATAGACGGTGCGTTCAAGGAGAAGGCTTTCCCAATTGTTTTGAGCAGCGATTAACTTTAAGTAGTTTTAGGTAGTATTCAAATTTTGTTTAACGATGCGTATATATATATATATATATATATATATATATATATATATATGCGTCCAAAATTTGATATGCAAATATACGGAGTGCTTGACACGATAATACTCGTGTGAAGTAAGCACGGCATACGTTATATGCATTGTACATTAGGTTGAACTGAACCAAAAGTCCTCTACTATTTTGCAAATGATCATATAGATTTTTTAATTATTAATTCGAAAAGATTGGCAAATGATTGTGCACCATCGTTAGCTTTTTTTAATTAATAAATCAGAAATCTACGTGGTTTGTAAAATGACATAGAGAATGAGGATTTCTTTATTTAGTTTGATCAATATGTGCAAAGATATAACGGAAAACTTATCATCACACACTGCACCACATTGCGCGAGATTATTCATCAATCTTTTTTAATTAATAACTCAAAATTTTATGTGGTTATTTACGAAATGGAAGAGAAATTTTGTTCAGTTTTATTTAATCTATATATATATATATATATATATATATATATATATATATATATATATATATATGCGCAGTTGTTGACACGTCTTGTGTCAAATAAAGTATAAAGTAACGGAAAAAAAGTTTAATTAGATTAACTAAATTTTTAGTAAAATATGAACTCTGACCCGAAATTCCGGTTGAAATTATTAAAATTCTGATGAAATTAACAAGATTTCTGGTTAACTTCTGGTTAACACATAACAGAATTCTGGTAACTTCAACCGGAATTTTCTGGTTTGTTCATATTTTTCATCAGAAATTTTCTTAATTAAACCAAACGTTTTTCTTTCATGTAAATAAAAAGAACAGAAGAAAACGCCTAGCATTTAAAATATTATCTATTTTTTCTGCACTCACCGTATAACCGGTGGTCTGTTCTTTTCAGCTGCACAGTTGAATTGGTGCAATAAGTTAAAGTGAGAAAACATACATTTGTCTCACTTTATTGCACCAGTTCAGCAGTGCAGCTGAAAAGAACAGACCACGGGATTCAGAGTCGACATTCTGCTAGCCAGATCTGAACAAAAAATAGAAACACACCGGTTCAGTATCACCGGTTAAATTTTACGTAGAAATACACGTGTAGAAGTATGAGTGAACTCTTCGCCTTTGTGACAGTCTTACTGACAACTGTATTATGGCTCACTATCTAAAGGGTTGAGACAGGAGAAGCTTAACAAGTCTGCGAACCTATCTTTGAGCCGACGCTGTTAGGCCCGAACCGGATCCTTCGGTACTCCGTCTGCATCCGCCGGAACAGCATCTCCGGGACCACATCTACCGCGTGGAGCCGCAAGCGCTGCCAGATCTGGGACAAGAAATGATCTCCTTAATTAATCACTGTGATAAGACAGTTACTTGGTCGAGACAAAGTAAGAATACGACGATTTCTTCATCTCGTTTCTCGTTTAATCTGGATAGAAACAAAGTGCGGTAGTTTAAGAAGACCGGGTATAAATGGCTTCAGAGGTATGTTGCTCATGTACGTTTTTTAGTATTTATCTTGAGAGGAATAGTGGATATAGACGTAATATCACACGTACTCAGTCGAAACTCGCGCATACCCGCGCTTCACGATAACGCTTCTCGATCTTTGTATTTTAAAAACGAGTCGTGCTCTCTCGCATCTTACTCTTTGTCTTTTCCCCTTCTTTTTCCAACTACAATTTCAAATTTCTTTTTTAAAAATATTAACCGATAAAGAAAAGATAATGCTGTTTCTTTATCGAAAATTTGGAGACCATATTAGATCATACGAAGAAGTAACTGATCTACACATTCAATGCTGCATATCCTGATCGCAATTTTATTTCTAAATCCACCGTTCAGAAGACAGTGATACGTTTTTACGAAACAGAAACAGTTAAAAACCAAAATCCTTTCAAACCTCATAACTCTAAATATACCTAACAAAAAAAATACTTTATTATAGGTTTTTGGAAAGCCCTTGAAATAAACTACAAGAATATGTAATAAAAAGTGGGGGGTCCAATTTAAAAAAATTCAATTTGACCTTCGTATGACCTTCGTTCTCCATCCAAAGTCAAATTTTTAGCCATCATTAGGTACATTTTATTAAGTCCTACAACTTTACTACTTACATATTTTTCGCTACAGTTGATCCTTTTCGAGATATTTGACCGTTTCTGGACTTTTTGCCAACCCTGTATATATACAAAATCGCAAAATAATCCTAAAACATACATATTTTTTCTTAAATTTAAATCAGAATAATATTACAGTTAAAAAATAGAAAAAATTAATTTGTAAGTAGTACAATAAAGAATTTCGCCCATTTTTATAGGGGTTTCTGAGTCATCGGCGTTCAATTATCAATTATATTTAATATTGTAGATAATAATGGTAGTATTTAAGAAAAAAATAGTTTTAGATCCTCAAACTCTCGCTGAAAGTAGTTCTGGCCTCTTAATGATATCATTTTATTCGTTCGATAATTCATCCTCAGAGCTGTCTAGCACGTTTATTATTCTTCTTTACACGATGTTTTTGCGCTTTCAATTAACTAATGATTTTTTCTAAAGATTTCTTATTGCATCCAAAATATCTCTTTGTGGTAACGGCGGTAACAAACAAATATTGAAGGAAAGAAAAGATTATATTAAAGAATATTGTTGCACACGTAAGAATGGTGCTCGTACTTTAGGCTCCTGTGTCCATATTATGTCAATAATTTGGTATCTAGGATATGCTAAATACCTTTCTAATGATATACGAATACCTTCTGAGTATAGCAATAACATATTTGTTATGTTACACAGCTCTAATGATGAGCCATTGAATGAATAAAATAGCATTATTAGGAGGTGAAAACAATTCGATGGGATCTAAAATAATTTTTAGATCTAATTTGAGGATAATAATTTGAGGATCTAAAATAATTTTTTTTTAAATACTACTATTATTATCTACACAATTATACATGATTGATGACTGGACGCGGATGGCCCAAAATTGGTGAAGTTTTTTTCGAGTCTTTTGAAATTCTGTACTAACATTCTTTATGATTATATTCTTCTTCATGAGAATATTCTTCTTGAGTGAATAAAATTAAGCGATGTGTTACTAGCTAGAATGAAGTTTCTTGCAAATGTGCGATATACTGTTTCAAATAATAAAAGTAAAGCAATTTTCATTCATAAATGATTGATATCGAACATATAGACGGATGGAGCTAAAATCGGCCCATACATGTAAAAAATGATTTAGTAATATCAGTTAAACCGCGGTAGCTGATTCAAACTTAGTCAAAAGGCTAATCGTTTAGCTATCACTGTTAAGAATTGGCTATGATATTTAAGATGCATTCACTATGAAATACAAATATATTAGGTGATATTAAAAATGCACATTATTTCAAGTAGCTAAGAAAATGGCAGTTATTCCTAAATTTCTTATCGTATGCATATATTAAAGAAGTTTGCCGTACAGCTACAATCATTTGTTACAGTTGTTTATTTCTAGCAGTTAATATTTCTCGCTATAGCGCCTAAGTTTAACTGCAAATAAATCTAGCTTCGGTAGTATCGACATTAGCTGTCCCTATTTCAGTGACATATCTTATCTGCTACAGCTATTTTTTAGCTCTGGAAGCTAGTTCTTTTTTTTGCGTGTAATTAAGGACAAGCAATAGGGCTCTTGGAGATCTCTTGCAGAGGCTCCGAAACTACTAATCAATATATACATTTTATATGTGGCCTTCTTTTTTATGTTCTACGCTGCTAAGCAACTGAACTCGATATTATGGCAAAATATAAGGTGTTTAAATAAAAATATGCCATATTAGTACAACAATATTGTAAAACTATTGTACTATTGTAACTATTGTAATATTGTCAATACTAACAAAAAGGTTCCCATGAACATATATTCTAGAAATAAATATATGTTGAGATATGGGCCATGTTGTATTGTGGCCTATTATCTTCATCTGTCTATTTATCTCTCTCAATACACAAATGACTAGTACGAATAACTTACGTTAGTGCACTGCAAAGGTAAACACAACCAATAAGAAAAGGTCAATGAACTGAAATAGAGAGACAGTCTATACTACTGAATAAGAAGATAGCCTCTTTTTAGTTGTGTAGCCACTGTCTTGGAAGATAGTGTATTAAATTTAGGACCCATATTTACTAGACTCTGTTTATTTATGTTAAGGAATACTGCTCACTCTCAAAACATACTTCGTTTTAAAACAAACATCATATAAACTTTTCAGTTACGTGGAATATTGTTGAAGCCTTGATGGTTGAAATGGTGCAACCTCCTGTCCAGCGAGAGAGAAGTCCAGAAGTTTAGATTCGACTTGTGTCTGAGGCAATATTTTTCGCAATATTATAAAATACACAATTAAATTGGAATAAATAAAAGGGAGAATTAATTAATTAATAAATGGGATTCAGAGTCGGTTTGCGATGGAAGGTATTCACTGCGTATATTAAAAGTCCGGGAAAATATTAGACACGTACGTCTAACACATTGCTAAATATCATAATCCTCTCATTTCGTTTTATTCGCACTAACATCCAGCACATGATTTTTATAGACGTTATTTTTCTTTTCAAAAGGAAAGTGTTCAGACTACTTCACAGATTTGCTTGATCGATAGCAAGAGTATCATTTTATTTTAACCAGATCATCATTTTATTTTACAAGAATTTTTAGCATATTTTCCACTAAATATTTTTGCGTATTTTTTAATTTTTTACTCCTCTGACGTCATAAATCAGGATCACCGCGGCGAGGAAACGGGAACCTTAAGGTTCAGTTGCACCAACTGCGAATAAGTAAGCTAACAATTAAAATTTGTGTCCGTCTTTTTTAATTTTGAAGGAAAAATAAAGACAGACTAACATATTGGTTGTGTTTGCCTCTGCAGTGCACTGACGGTGGTGCGTACACTAATCAATTGTGTATTGAGAGAGATAAAAAGATAGATGAAGAATATGATTTAACTATTAGTTAGCTTATCACTCACAGTTAGTGCAACTAGACCTGAAAGAATTCGGGAATCTCCGCGTCTCCCGTGCCGTTCACCTTCGCGTCTGAAACTGTTATGACCGCTTGTCCATTTCGCCGAGTTGTTGTGCCGAGAGTCGAGCTGTTTGTGCGTATATGCAGCGGATCATGTGATATTTCAAACGACGCACACAGCAATGTATATGTACATACGAGGTAAACAACGGGTAGAGCAGTTTTAGACGCGAGAGTGAACACAGCAGGTGACGTGTGTCCTTTGTTATTTATATATTATTTAAGGTTTATTATTGAGTGTGTAATGCAAGTATCCAGACAGACTTTCATGTTTACCACAACGTGAGACAATCGGCGAGGTGGAAAGTTTATAATTGTTTTAGTTATATTTTTTAAGCAAATATACTGTATTGAACTAATCATAAAATTGATATCGCGTACAATAATGTAATTTTTCTGTTACATTGACTAAGCAACATATTTACTAAAAATTACACTCAGATTTTCATATTACATTTTATATGACACATTATTTTGAACATTTGTTATTACCCTTTTCATATTTTTTGTATTCTTATTTCATCACTCTGATAAATATAATAAATGACTGTCATATAAACCATTAATAAAGGATGCAATTATTAAAGTTAGTGCTAAATTTATATACACTTGTCTGAATAATTTTGGAGTAATTTTCAAATAAGATTATTACAGTTTTGTTCCGTTATAATTTTATGAAATAGTATGGAGAAAAAAAATTGTGATGAGAAAATATTACAAGATTTTTCAATTTTACATCACAGAAATTATGACCAAAATTGCAAGATATTCGTTTAAAAACGTTATGCACATTTGACTTTTTACTACGCAAAAAAAATGTAGCAAAAATTAGGGTAAGTGAACAGATATTCCTGTTCCTATTTTGGAAAACATTAAAAAAAGAAACTGCTGCATCCTTTGCATAAGTTTTTTAAAATAAATTTGATATATCGCAATTAAAGGATCATCTTTTACTTACCAATTAGGCATAAGATAATATTTGAAGGAGGCTTTGTTTTGAAATAGCAAATAAATAATTCAAACACTAAATTTGTTCCAAATTAGGTCATTTAATTCGAAACAGCTGAGTTGTAATCCCTGTGGCTTATATATTAAACATATATTGAATATATATTAAACTATGATATCTAGAAAATATTGTTGTAAATAATTCTTCAAGACAATGAGTGAAATCAGAAATGTTCCGAATTAATTTCATACATCCCTATTTCGAAACGGACTTGAGTAGTAAAAAGTCTGAATTTATACTCATACAAGCACGAAAAACCTTAAATACACAAGATTTAGAAAAGGCAAATATTGTATATAACTACTTTGATTATATTATACGTGGTGTTACGCTGAAAAAACAAAATTATCTAACACTTTAGACAATAATTTGATTAATGATAGAATTTCAGAAATAACCATATAGTATACTATTCATAAATTCTTAAGAATAAA